TTCTTTATTTTTCACACATATATAAATTTTAAAACTTAATCCATCATTAATGACGGGTCTATTATCTAAAAAAATCGATCAATTTATTATACATGTATATATAAAAGTTTTGGTTTTTAAAATAATTAATAGTTAATTACATAATAAGTTACATAAACAAAATTAAATTTACTTCTATATTATTTTAAATTTATTTATCTATAATAAACTTATTAAAGTAATTATCTATTGTATAGTTTGTTACTATTAATTTTGTTATTTCAAAATATTATTTTTCTTATTTGTAACTTTTATTAAATAATCTTTTTAACACTTATATATCATAAATAATAGATTTAACTAAATATCAAATATAAAAATATTATTAAACAAAATATTATAAATATAAATTTTTTTTTGATTTTGATTTGAATTTATTATTTATAATAATATAATATAAAAATATTTTATTATATTTTTATATTTTTTTAATTATTTTATTTTTTTTGTTTTAATATTTTTTATAAATATTTCTTTTAGACTTGTTTTTATTGTTATAAAATATATTTTATAATTAATTAAAAATTGATAATTATAATATTTGATTTATATTTATTATAAATATTTAAAATTTATATTTATAAAATAAATAAAATAAATTGTTTTATTAAAGATTATATCAATTTTTTATAAACAAAAAATATATTAATTTGATTTTTTTTTTTTTATAAATAATTTATATAATTATTTTAAATTATTTTATTTTAAAAATAAGTTTTTTTGTAAACAAAATTTATTTTTTTAATTATATCTATAAAAAATAATTTAACAAATAAATTTTGTTATATGTTTTTTAATAACAATAATATATTATTTTCTTATTAATAATTAATAAAAATTAAATACAAGAATATAAATACTTTATATTTTAAATATTTTAAATATTAGTTATATAATCAAATATAATATTTAATATTTTTAAATATTTGAAATATAGATATAACATAAATTATTTATTTTTTTGTTGGTTTTAATAATTATATAATAGATAAAATTTAAATATTATATATATTCATGTATAAAATCATTTTTTTAATTTTTTTAAAAAAAAAACCATTATTTTTTTGCATAATATATTATGAATATTAAATTCATATTTATAAAAAATATTTTTAAAGCTAATTAAATTTTAATGAAAAACCAACTTCACACTTATTTATTATATATATTCCATATTATATGGGTTCCAAAAATTGATGCTTACACAAGAGGTAAACATCGTATTATCGGTTGTTGATAGGTTGTCGGCAGGTGCACTCTCAGATGAAACCTCATTGAATACACATACCCCCCCGATAAGGACGGTAAAGAGTATTTTTTTGGAATCCGCTTGTATTTATATGGTATTGGTTTGATGTAAGAGTATTATGGGATTTATAATATCGTAATGTATACATTATTCACATGACTAAAGGTTCCTCAAAAAGTAAAATTTAACTATCTTCCGGACCATATCGGTCAACTTGAACGTGTGGCCGTTCGAGCATTTTAAAACAAACTATATAAAGTGTATAACACGGTGCGGAAGTATATAGGATTAGGAACTATCTATTCTAATAAATACTAAATATTAATCCAAACGCGATATACTTTGATAGGTGAAAGAGAATAGAAACTCGTAGGATGAAAATTTTCTCAGGTAAGAAGGTTTGGAAAAATTCGTCAATTTTTAAAAATGATTTTTTCACATGGATCTACAGTATACTAGCAGAATGGATCGATTTATTAAATATGATAATTAATCTACAAGTAATAAATATACTCGCATAAAAAATTTTTTAAGATCTATAAATATAAAAATTTGTTCAACCTTATATCTTATCCATTGGAAAAATAAAATTATTATTCCCCATAAATGTAAGTACGAGACTTCAGTATAAGGTTATAAATTCTACAACCTAGATATCCAATGATTCGTCCAATATAACCTTTTGGTACGTTTTGCGATAACACCAGTCCCCTAGATACCAATACATCCTTAGATGCGTTAATTCTCATTTCATGTTCGTATTGTTTAAAGCATTCTTTCCACCCATATTTCTCAAAATTCCTCAACTTTTCTGTTAGTAATGCAGCATCACATAATGCGCGGTTTGCACCTGAATTTGTGTTAGAGATATGCAAAACCAAATAATTTTTAATTGGTTATTAAAAAGTAATTTTATGGATAAATATTAGTCTCACGAGTGAACTTACCAAAACCCAATACAAGGTTCATGGCATGCGCCGCATCTCCTAATAATGTAACACGCGTAGTTTCCCAAGGTTTGACTGATAACGGATCAAGATCCCTCATTTGCCTCCTTATCGGAGCGTTGTAATCTTTGTACGGATAATTTTCAAGTGTAGTGAGAGGTACGCATTTCCATAACTTGATTATCAAATCTCTCAATTCACAGGGTGGACGATATTTTTCAATTCTCTCGATCACGTGATTTACCAAAGACTCGGAATTATCATCGTCTACATCATAATTCAGATTAACCCCTTCCATTCTAAAATCTGTGTTATAAATGTAGTAGAGAGACATTCGGTAATGGATTTCATCGTCGGATTTATTCACTATGTTAGATTCAATGGGTATGCGACGAAACAAGGCGAATACTGAGTCACCATTCGGACCAAGAGATTGCAGAACTAGGTTATTATCATAATATTTCATCAACTCGTCGACAAGTTTCTTGCTTGGAGCGATATCTACGACAACGAAGGTCGCCCCAAGATCCATAACTTTTAATTCCGGAACCTTCTTTTTTCTGACTTTATGTTCAAAAGAATAATGTTAGAGAACATTTATGTATTATGTATAACATTAGCATATATATATATTTACTTGGAGAGTTTATTCCATCTGAAGCCACGAGAAAATTGCCAAACACTTTACTTCCATCATTGAAAATTGCCCAAACGCCGTCATCAACTTCTTCATACCCGATACACTTCTTATTCCATTCTACATTTACATCCTCTAACAATAAATCCCTTAATTTATTTCTATAGCTAACTAAGACGCTTAAGTTATTATTAGAACCGGGAAGTTCAAATAAACTTTTTACTTGTTTCGATGGTTCGTGCAACAAAAAATTCCCTGTTTCATCGGTAGCAGTGAATGCGTGATATTCACCCGGTATAGGATTTGGAATCGCTTCTGGAAGACGGGCTAGAAGCGAATTGGGAAGGCAATCGAGAAGAGCTACGATACCGTTTTTATTAATGCTTATGTTGTATCTTGCCAACGATCTAGTTATGAAGTACAAACATGAATACAGTTTATAATAAGGTTAACGCGCATAAATCATTTGAATTGATAATTACCCGTTGGACACCTTTCCCTTTCAAAAATTCTAACGTTAAATTTCTTTTCTGGTTGATTTAAATTTTTTTGAATTGAGTGATATAGAGCAAGTCCTCCAGGACCCGCACCTATTATCAAAATAGTTGGAATCTTTTCTGCCATTGGTATAAAATTCTAAGGGGCTGTTTTCTGCTAAGTGAGGAATTTGTATATTCAAATAGTGAAGTGGTGAAGAAATGAACGTGGAGGACGAAAGTCGTGCCATTTATAATTTTTTTTCGTTCATATTAATCAATGAGTGCTAATATCCTCTTTATTTCGACTTTTGTAATAACATAAAAATTATGCAATAAAGATTTTCGTACATGAATTTTTAATCGACAATTTCATTGACCAATTTCATCTCAATAACATTATGGCCTTGTGCAACAATCATTTCAATGATACTTGAGGCACATAGATACTGTAACAAGGTAACATAACCCACACTGAGTGAGTGCTCGATCCCCGTGGCATTATCGTGAGATCTGGCTTAGTTGAACACAACATTGTGATAGAGAATGGCACAAGGGAAAGAAAAGAAATACCAACGAGTATAGTCACGTGACAGGGATTGGCAAGGATCGATCGTGGCACTATGAGTGATTCAATAATTATTTTATAAGATTATTTAATAATATTTCGTCATGAGATTTTAATATTAAATCCACTTCATCTTAATTAAAACATTATCTTAGCCATTCTTAATAACAGACTTACTAGTCACCTTTACAATATATAGGCATATAATTACTTTTTAAATCCGATTTTATATATAATTGTAACTTTTTGGATTTAATTGTAAATTATTTAAAACAAATAGAAATTTAACTTGAATACATTTTTTATTAATTATTGAAATTACTATTATTAAAAATATCAATAATACTAAATGTATATACAGTATATGATAAATAAATAATATACGTAATTATTATAGTATTATTATTACATAAACCAAAGTATATATATATATTTTATAATTATGTAATTTTTAATATGATTTTAATGATTATGTAAAAGAAAGATTATACAGTATATTGATTATATAATTTTGAAAAAAAAAAAAAAAGTTCAAAAATTCAGAATTTCATAAAAATCAAAAACATTCTTTGAATAATTACTTTTATTATATAGAAAATAAATTGGAATTTATTATTAAAACATATATAAAAATTTATGTATCTTACTTAATATACCTTATTGATATTGTTTTTTTAAATTTAATCAATGCAACATGTTTTCTAAGATGTAATTACTTTAATCTATTAAACATGTAAATATAAATATGAATATTAAAAAAATTTTGTAATGACTAAAATATCGAAGTTGCAAGTTCGCTCTATTGTAAATTATTAAAAGTGAAATTATTTACTTTTTACAAAAGAAATAATCAAGCGGATAACTTGTTTGTCAAAATCTTGTAATAAGCATGTATTAGCGCATTTAAAAACCATTTCTTATTGATTATCAGTAGTAACTTTATTAGTGAGGGCAGTTTCTCCGGAGTCTAAGAACCGCACTTGATTGCCAAAAGCTATTTGTGATTGTGAAAATAATGTATTTTAGTTATAAACAACAGATGCTAAATATAGGAATCTTTTAATCAACTTTTTACAGAACCTTCTAATGATTCACAATAAGCATTGTATTTGCAAACCTGATGATCACTACGACTTAAAGCAAATTATCGCAATAAAGAAACCGATTTCAATGAAAGATTCAATAATCGGCATTTGCATTATACAGTTTCCGGAATTAAACTCCGAAGTCAATAATATTCAGTAAATTATATATACAGCATAATTAAGATAAACCTCTTTAAACCAGGCCTTTGTAATTTATACACATGTCAACGATAACAAAGATTCCAACTATCTTGATCATAGGAGCAGGTCCCGGTGGACTTGCCTTATATCACTCGATCCAGAAAAATTTAAATGGATCGGAATTAAAATTTAAAGTTAGAATTTTTGAAAGAGAAAGTGGTCCTGCTGGTAATTTATTAATAAAGTAATCCGTGTGATTTTTAATTTACGTTTTAACCTCATCTCTTATGTTCCTTAAACTTCATAACTGTAGATCGTTGGCAGGGATATAACATAAACATTAACAGATGTGGTATTACCTCACTTCTATATTGCCTGCCTAGTTCACTCCAGTCCCGTCTTCCAGAAGCAATGCCAGATCCCGTGCCAGGCGAACATCATGGATTCACTTCTATTGATGATACCGGGAATTTATTAATGCATCCGCCATTTAAACAGATGAAAAACTTATTTGAAATCTCAAACTCTAAGAATGAATACAGTTTTGTCGTTTCCTATAGAAATAAACTAAGGAATTTATTATTGGAAGATGTAAATGTAGAATGGAATAAAAAATGTGTTGGATATGAGGAAGTTGATGATGGCGTTTGGGCAATTTTTGATGATGGAAGTAGGGTGTTCGGTGATTTTCTCGTGGCTTCGGATGGAATTAACTCTCCAAGTAAGTAGTCATATGTTAATATTATTATACCAAATTGATTTATAACATTAATTATTCTTTATACTTAAAGTCCGAAAGCAAAAGATTCCGGAATTAAAAGTCATGGATCTTGGAGTTACCTATGTTATTGTGGATATTTCCCCAAACAAAAAACTAATTGACAAATGGATGCCATATTTTAGAAATAGTTTAATTCATGAATCTCTTGGTCCAAATGGTGATACCGTATTCGTAGTACTTCGTCGTATACCCGTTGAATCTGACATAGAAAACAGATCTGATGACCAAATTCATTATCGAATGTTAATGTACTATTCCTATGATACAGATCTTGACATAAGAGAGACAGAATCAAAAAATTTCGACTTGAACAATAATAATAATGTCGACCTTTTAGTAAACGACGACGACCCAAATTCTGTAGTAAGACACGTGATCGAGAGAATTAAGAAATTGCGTAAGCCTTGTGAATTAAGAGACTTGCTGATTGAGCTATGGGAATGTGTACCTCTCGCTACACCTGAAAATTATGAAAAATATCCATTTAATACATATCATGCTCCGAGAAGGAGGCAAATGAGAGACATCGACCCGTTGTCAGTTGAACCTTGGGAAACCACGCGTGTCATATTATTAGGAGATGCAGTACACGCAATGACCCCAATTTTAGGTTTAGGTAAGTCTATTCACCTAATAAACTATTCTTTATTTTTAAAATATATTATTAATTTATAAATTGTTACTTTCATACCGTCAGGTGCAAACCATGCATTACGGGATGCTGTATTGCTAACAAAAAAATTAGAAAATTTTGAGAAGGAAGGATGGAAGAAATGTTTTGAACAATATGAACAAGAGATGAGAATTAAATCGTCCAAAGGAGTATTGGCATCCAGGGAAGTGATATTGCTTGAAAAAGTACAGAAGGGCTATATTGGAGCAATAATAAGAAGACTTATGTATAGAATGATTGACATAAAAAATTATTTTGTCGCTTTCCTTACGGATTATAATATTTTAAGCGCTCCTATAGATTAGGATTTTCTTTTCGGAGAAAATAATTTTTTCTTGCATAATAAAATTTTATATTAAATAAATTATAAAAATTGCGATTAAAAGCTTTCCTTATTATTCCTGGAAATGTAATATATGGTGCTATCTGGATCAGTTCTATACTATTCTCGCGTAATATTGAATTAATTCGGTTTGGACTTACGAATAAATTCACTATTAAGCACTGGACGTACTGTATACTTTCAAAGACGGACGTTGACTAATTTCTGCATGATGGCGAGTCAGTCGTTCCGGTCTGACTCACGCCGTGTGACGGTATAACAAGTTTGGTCCTCAAGAGGCATGTGAATTTGGCAGAGTTTCTTATATATTGATTTTCATATGCACTATTATACATATTAATAGATAAAAATTTTATTAATTCATTAATAGAATATGTTAAAATATCAAAAATATCATTTTATTCTAATTTATAATTATTATAACTAATTAAATTATTTCTTATTTCAGTATATAATACAATTTTAAGTAAATTGGTTTTTATCAAATCAAATTCATAAAATAATAAATTGTTTGAAAAAATAAACAACATATTTAAAATGGTTAATAAAATATTAATAGGAGTAGTAGCTATATAGCATATTCTGTTATTAAAAGTTATATTGGAAAGTTTTATTTAATAACAATAATAATAATAATCCATATTAGAAATAAAAACACTTGTTTAATTTTCTTGAAAATAACAATTTATATTAATTTTATAATTATTTTTTTAAATTAATTGTATTTAAATATAATTTGAAATAACCTGTTATACATATATTTAAAATATGATGATATATTAATTTCTTTTGTTAAAAGATCAGATTTTAATATAAACTTTTTAAATGAATCTTTTAAATTTATAAATTTTTTATTTTTTAATCCAGCTAAATAATAAAATATTATTACTATTATGATTTAAAATTTTTCAATTAATTTAAATTTTAAATTATTTGATTTAAATAAATTAAAAAATATCAAATAAAATAATTTAAATATAAAATAATTATTTTGTTATAACATATTAAATAATTAATTTGAATTTGTATATAATTTTTTTATTATATTATTATTTATAAAAAATATTAAACAAATATATAATATTACTATTAAAGTATTTAAAAATAAGTCTTGTTTTATATTTCTTAATTTTTGTTTTAAATCAAAATTTTTTTAAAAAATTATTATATTTAATGTATTTAATTTTTTTTTTATTACAATTTTTTTTAAGTCATCAATTTAAATATTGTTGTTTAATTTAAATTATTAATTTTTATATTATTATTATTTTTTAATTTATAAATTTTAATATTATAATTGTTTTTAATTATAAATTTCAATATTATAATTAGTTTGAAATTTATAAAGTTTATATTATAAATAGTATTTAAATTTTAAGTTCTTTTTTAAATTATATATATAATAATTTTTGTATATTAAGTTAAATTATTATTTAATTATAATTTAATAATAATATAAAAAATAATAATAATAAATTATTGTAAACTCATTTTTATAAAGAAGTAATATTTAATAAAGAAATAGTAATTTATTTTTTTTTATGGGTTTATGGCATATGATCTGTAGAGATGATCTGCAGGCTTTGACTCTATTAAACAAATGGGATCTTAATCCCAAT